ATTTGAGATAACAAGGTGTAGAGCTGGATGAACACAGCAGGCCAAGCAGCATCAGAGGAGCAGGAAAGCTGACGTTTTGGGGCTTTCCTGCTTCTCTGATGCTGCTTGGCCTGCGTTCATCCAGCTCTACACCTTGTTATCTCAAATATTTTAGATCTTTTGTTTGAATGTTTGAATAGACTAGCTGGAATCTACAACATGGCAGATGGTGCCGACTGAACTGAAGTGCTGTTACATGTTCTATGCTTGATATTCCTGCACTGATATTTGTAAGGAGCCTATTATTCTCCAGTGTGTAGTGATTGATTAACAAATAGCTTTTTTGGTCCTCCTTTCGCAACATGTTCTATGATTCCCTCACTGATCTCGGCTAAAATTGGATTATTGCTGTATGTTCAAATGCTGTGATTGAATCATTAATGATGTAGGTAGATTATGTCATTTTGTGTCAATCATATTGAAGACGAATGAATGTGTGTGGCTCTGCCTAATGTCCGTGTATTGGTTTAATTTCAGGAGCCCATCAAGTCACGAGCACCACAACTTCATTTAGAATACAGGTTTTACAAGCAACTTGGGAGCTCAGGTAATGTGTATCTGGATTTACAAGGTTACTGTTGGAAGAAAAATATTGCCTCTCCTGCAAACATTAGAGATAAAGCATTAAATTGCTAAATTAATGCACAGATCATGCCAGCATAAGTGGTTGAAAAAAATTGAAGCGCTTTTTGTTTCCTGACACCTTCCTGAGAGGCATGCTTGAGAAATATTGTGAATCCTCTATCGTCAATCCCGAAATGTTGCTGCCGATTTTCAGTCAGGATTATAAGCAAATAGCCAATGTCTTAGAACATTATTGCTGCACCACAGCAACATTTTGATTGTAAAACCAACTTTTCTTTAAATATCTGCTAAAAATTTCTGTTGTCAGCCCATTGAACTGGTTAAAGCTTTAGTCTCATAACTTCTCGAAAACCAGTTACAGTCATAGAATCACACAGCAGGAAAACAGACTGTTTGGTCCAACTTGTCCATACCGACCAGGTTTCCTAAACTGAACTAGTCTCATTTGTCTGAATTTGGCCCATTTACCTCCTAAACATATCTTATCCATGTACCTATCCAACTGCCTGTTAAAAGTTGTATGGTACTCACCTCCACCACTTTCTCTGGCAGCTCATTCCATACACGCACCACAATTTGTGTGAAAAATCTTTCTCCTCTCACCTTAAATCTATGCCCCCTAGTTTTGGACTCCCCTACCCTAGGGAAAAGACGTTGGCTATTCACCTGGTCTATGCCCCTCATGATTTTATAAACCTCTAAGGTGTCTCCCCTCAGCCTCCTACACTCCAGGGAAAAGACTCCCAGCCTTTATTTATAACTCAAACCCTCCACTTTAGGTAACATTCTTGTAAATCATTTTTGCACTCTTTCTAGTTTAATAATGTCCTTTCTATAGCACGGCAATGAGAACTGGATTCAGCACTCCAAATGTGGCCTTAACATTATTTTGTACAGCTGTAACATGACTGTTACAACTTCTATGTTCGACGCTCTGATCAATGAAGGCAAGTGCGTCAAATGCTTCCTTCATCACCCTGTCTGCCTGTGATGCCGCTTTCAAAGAACAACATACCTACACCCCTAGGTGTCTCTCTTTGACAGTACTACCCAGGGCCCTACCATTAGCTGTATAAATCTTGCTGTGGTTTGTCTCAGCAAAATGCAACACCTTGCAAATATCTAAATTTAACTCCATCTGCAATTTCTTGGTCCACTGGCCCAGTTGATGAAGATCATGTTGTACTCTTAGATAACCTTCCTCATGGTCCACATACCACCAATATTGGTATCATCCACAAACTTACTAATCATGCTTCCGATATTCTTATCCAAATATTCCTGTAAATGATGAACAACAGTGGACCCAGCACTGAACCTTGCCACACACCGCTGGTCTCAGGCCTGTGGTCTGAAAAGCAGCCCTCCACCACCACCTTCTGTTTCCTACCATCAAGCCAATTTTGTATCCGATTGGCCAGATCTCCCTGAATCCCATGTGATCTAACCTTACTAGCCAGTCTACCATGCGGAATCTCATCGAAGGCCTTGCTAAAGTCCATACAGGCAACATCAAAAGCTCTGCCTTCATCTATCTTCTTGGAGACCTCTTCAAAAGACTTAATCAAGTTTGTGAGAGACAATTTCTCACACAAACCCATGCTGATTATCCCTAATTGGTCCTTGCCTTTCCAAATACACTTAGATCCTGTCTCTCAGAATCTCCTCCAAGAACTTACCACTACTGACGTCAGGCTCACTGGTCTGTAGCTCCCTGGCTTTTCCTTGTAGCCCTTTATTAAATAATGGCACAACATTAATCACCCTCCACTCTTCCAGCACCTCACCCCTGGCTATCGATGATACAAATATCTGCACCAGGGCCTCCACGGTTTCTTCCCTAGCTTCCCACAGTGCCCTGGGATACACTTGTTCAGGTCCCAAGGATTGATCTACTTTGATCTGAAACTGTTTAATATATGCAATGAAAGGTTTTTTGCAAATTATAAAACTAGCCATAGAAGATGCAAATCAGGCAGTTTCTATAATGGGGGTTGAGTGGAGGAAACCCTTAACGTCAGTTTTACGTGTAGGCAGCAATTTGAAAATCTTCCCTAATAAGTGCAAGTTCTTAATAACAGCATTCTTTGCGTTAGCCCAATTTTCTCAAAATAGTTTAAGCTAGATAAAAGTTTCTCATCTTTAGACTTCAAGGACAAGAAGTCTGTCCTTCCTTCCCTCTAGCTCGTCATGAGACAAATAAATCTTAACCATTCAAAAATCCAAATTAAACATCATTAGAGATCCCACAAGTTGATTTAACCTGTATATCTATGTTCCCTTTCCCAGTTTGCTGAGATTCATAACTCATAACTGCTGAAATGTAGCTATAATTAACAATACTACCTAAAGCACATTGAATAGTGATATTTCATTGCAATTGATTTGTCTACCAAAAGCACTGAGAGTAGGAGCAGCATGTACAGCATTTAAAAATACAAGCATGCACCAGTTCATCTTTTTTAATGTACAGTAGCTGCCAACCTTTCCCCAGAGTTAGTCTAGAGAAATTAGAGACCTGTCTGTTGTATACTCTTTTACCAGTAACTGATCAGAAATTCTTGTGTGAAGGAATGTTGCTTGGACATTTGTGCATTACTTTTCAGATTTCCCACTGAAGTGCGAAGCCAGGGATCACTTTTCCCAAGGGTAGTGGAAATCTGGAACTCCAACCCATATGAAGTTGTTAATACCAAGATTGATAGGTTTTTCTTTGACAACAGTTTCTAGAAATAGAGGTGTGGTACCGATCAATAGTAAACAGACTTGAGGGTTGAATTGCTTACTGTGTTCCCTGACACTTTGTTCCATAAACAATGGAGTGGTATATAGTATTACTGGTCTTTAAGAAGTATATAAAACAGTAAGAGACATGTTGCAAAGATGAAGGCTGTTGCATTACGAAGTAAAATGGTGGCATCAATAAAAGTACAACTGAAGGCAAGGAGTGATTGGCTTTTTCTCAAATTAACGAGATCCTGCAAATGGTGTTCTGGAATTTGTGCTTCAGCAGAGGCACAATGAGAGCATTTCCCAGCAGTTCCTGAAATTAGGGAGCAGTTAAAAAAACCACTTTGAGAATGCACAATTGCTAGGGACAGGGCAAATGCATAACACAAGCAAACCAGCATATCATAACAACTTGTATATAGGGAGAAGAAGAATTAAGTAAATGGAGTGCCAGAAGAGGAATATCCCAAGTATAACACAAAGTAAATTGAGGAAAAACGCCATTATAAAGTGAAATTACACTCTTAATTTCCTGTGCCAAATGAATGCAAGGTTAGGAATCTGTGCAAGGCATTGCCTCGGGATGCGATAGAGAAATGAGTTCAGATCTGGTTTTCCCTTAGGGAAACAATGCTGATGTGAATAACTGCAGTAGAGTTTCATTAAGATATCGCCAGTGTTGATGGGAGAAGATTATGAGGAGAAATTTGAAAAACTGGGATATATTCACTTCATTGTCATCCCTAATTGCGTAAGGAAGGGTCAGACAAGTTTCACATTAATTAAGAGTCACATATTGATCAGCTCACAGGAATGTTTATTAGAACATAGCCCAGTTATCAGATTTCTAGTTAACCGGAAAATGGAACTGTTCAATAAAACAAGAAAAACAGTTCACTACTGTTCCTTACCTTGTTCGGGTTCTCTCTGAATTTCTCTAAATAACAATGCACTTTCGTTTGTCAGACCACTCTGCTGTGTAAGCAAGTCTGGTCTTCTAAAGGACAGTAGTCTGATTTTCTTGAAATTTTCTTAGGGAATCTAGTGATACAGGGGATGTTAAGTGAAGAATTTGGTCTTGTTGAACTGAAAGTTGATGATGGATTTCATCAAACTGCTGAAGTGCGTGAGTGAAGAACAGTGCTGCCTCGCTGTTGAAAAGTGCAATTCCTGCAAACTGGGGCAGTACAGCCACATTTGAAAGTGTTGAGTCTTCATTTTCATAAATCTGTTGAAACAGATAATTTGAAAGGGATGGGGACCGATTTGCAGAAAAGGAGAGATTACAGAGTGTTGGCTATGAGCTGAAGGTCGCTTAAATGTCCAGACATTGTGCTCAGAAATGGCTGGTGACAGAATGCAAGCAAGGAAAGTGTCAAAGGTGCAGAAGCAAATATATGAAGACTTAACAATTCTTTCTGTCTCCAAGAATCCTAATATATTAATTCTGATAAAATTAAGACAGTTTATTCCTGAAGAAATTTGTTTTTCTTTTAAATAAACTGGAGCATCATGTCAGAAACAGAAGACAACAGTTAACACATTATCACTATCCTTTAAGGGTTTATAGAGCATGATATTTTGGTAGAACAAAAACAGTACTGGAGAAACTCAGCAGGTCTGGCAGCATCTGCAGAGAGAAAAACAGTCAACGTATCGAATTCAGTGACTCAGAAGCTCCGTTTAACTCAGTTTCTCTCTCTACAGATGTTGTCAGCCCTGCTGAGTGTCTCCAGCACTTTTGTTTTTGTTTCAGATTTCCAGCATTTGCAGTTCTTTGCTTTTAGCTTGGTAGTTGGTTTGTAAACTCCTTTTTGAAGTTCTTCTAGCTCTGTCAGCAAGTGTATTGGTCTTGTTTGCTGACTGTTTAAAATTTAGGATCAATTTTCAAAAGATTAGAAGAAACAGTTCTTCTAAAAATATTGCATATATTTTTGCTTTATATGGCAAACATGATTAGAAGCAATATGATTATTATTAGTTTAGCTGCTCAAAATTCAGTTATGGCATTATAGAGTCAGAGTTATACCCCTCAAACAGATGCTTTGGCCCAACCAGTCCATGCTGAACCTAATTCCAAACTAAACTAGTTCCACCTGCCTGCTCCTGGCCCATATCCCTCCAAACCTTTCCTATTCAAGTACTTATACAAATGTCTTTTAAACATTGTAATTGTACCCACATCCACCATTTCCTCAGGAAGTTCATTCCACACGCGAACTAGGTAACAAT